TATATATATATATATATATATAGTTTGAGTGATTGAGTATAGTTTATTCTCTTGAGAAATTTTCACGTCTTTGATTTCTCAACTCTCCCATTTGTTTTGCAGTTTATTAAAGTGAGTCATCCTCCATACACACATACATACACACACACTCACACACACACTGTACACACATAATAGCAATTGTGGATTTTTTACAAAGTGAAAAATGGCAGTATATTCCTCAGGGTTAAGATTTATGTAGATTTATACAAAAATTTGGGTTTATATTCTATTTTTTTCTACTCACTAGCTTTTTTTTTCCCCATGGAGTTTATTGGTACATTTAAAGTATACAGTACAGTTACATTTATCATTGGGATCTTGTATCTTTACATGTCAGGTATTGGTTCTCATTTTCCCCATAGGCCTGCCCTCCCTTCACCCCCTCCTCCCTTCTCTATTAAAACTTATTATTGGGAAAACTAAGACTAGAATTCAGTTCTTATTACTTCTAATTGTCTGTTTTTAAAAAGTGGTTTATATTATTTATTTCAATCTCAGTATTCTTCAATTTTCTGTCCTTAAACTTTATTTTAGTCTCCTGGAACTTATAACTGAGGTGATATATTATTATTCCTTTTTTTCTATTGCATCTTGTGATTTCCTGGGCATGGCCTTCAGTCTTGCCTAAGAGCATTGCCATTTGTCTCAGAAAGGAAATACAAACAGTTTTACTCTCTTTTCACTATGATAAATAATACAATAGAGCTATTTCTTTATCTATGTGCTAGAATTCACCTGTGAAACTTTCTATGCCCTCACATTCTATACTAGGAAAAAATATTTAATTTCTTATTCAATCCTGTTACTTTATCTAGGTTTATCCCGATTTGAATGTTTCACTAATTACATGTCTCTGTAAGCCTATTTAATTGTAGATGTTTAATGTGTTGCCATGAAGTTTCTCATAATCTTTTAGCTTAGTTTCTACAAGATCATAATAACGTCCACTCATTCATTCCTGACTGTGTGTTCTCTTCTCATTCATCTACTCATTCTCTGTCACCTATCATGTATGTATGATATCATGTATGTATATCATGTATGTATGATATCATGTGTGTATGATATAGCATGCAGCTCCCTATTTATTCCTATCTATGTACATAAATGACATCATTCTAATGCTTTGCCACCGTTATTACAAAATCTTATTATATCTTGTAAGAATCTTACTTTAAAATCCACTTTTGTCTGTTATTAATATAGCCACTCTCAATTCAAGCCACACCTTGCATGGTATACCTCTTCTGCCCACTATGTTTTCAACCTATAAGAAAATTTTAGAAGGTACAGTAGCTATATATAAAATTTTTTATATAAACTTTACTAATTTCTGCATTTCTTCATTGTTTTTCTCTTTTCAGTCACCCTCTGTTATCATTTCCTTTTTCCAATACAAGTTTATTTTCCTCCTTTTCTTCTGCTGTTACTGAAAAATACATGTATAAATTAAGCCCAACAATACAAATGTGTATATGCTGATTTATGGAATTGGTTTATAAATTTGTGTAAAAAAGAACAAATATTCAAACATAATGTCTTTTAAATTTATCTGGATAATTACATTTACCAGTGCTATTTGTTCATTTTTTTCATTGTGAGCTCCAATTTGTGTCTGATACATGTTTGTTTTAGTATGCTGAATTTCCTTTTGTATTATAAGGCAGACTTTTTTGTTTGTTTGTTTTTTACCAACAAATTGCCTTCTTTTTCATTTATCTTGGAAAAATTGTGCATACCTTACATTTTGGAAGATAACTTTGCTGATTATAAAACATTTTGTTGGGTTTTTTAGTGTTTTGTTTTGTTTATTTTTCATTTGAGCAATCAAGGTATGTTCTTCCCTTGCGTTCTGGCGTCTCCCTTTGGTTCTGATAAAAGCATAATCTACTATTTCAGGGAACTGTGATACACACTGAATTTTCTCATTTTTTAAAGATTTTCTTTTTTAAAATCTCTTATGCCTTTACTGTGATATGTGTGAGTGTGATCTACTTACAGAATTTGTTTTATTCTTGGAAAGGTTGATAATATTTGCTGTTTTCATCCTTCTTTTCACACTGTATTTCAAAGAAAGTCAATACCACTAAGCTGTGCTACCGTAATCTTCTCACCTACCTGTCTCCGGATCAGAACCTCTCTTGAATTGTGTAGAAGCAGCTGAAAGAGATAAAGGTGCACCTTTTCAATAGTGATACCCTCCTATATGAAAAAAGAAATATAAGGTCTCCCTTCATATTATCAACTTGTCCTTCTGATGCAGAACCTCTGGTCCAGGAAGCGATGAGTGAAAGCCAAGTATGTTCACCCTGCTCCCTATGTGGCAGAGAGTCTGCTTGAGTAGGACCCAGTGAGTAAAAGGGATATTGATTTTTCTAGTCCCGTACACCCAGAATAGAAGTTTAGCAGAATGATTCTGGAAGAGATAAGAAACACTGTACCCTAATTCTCCTAGGATACAACCATGGCCTTAATCCAGGGCTAGAATGCAAAAATCTCTTCTCTTGTGGCCTCATCTGCTTGTGGTAGAGTCCCTAGACAGAATATTAAAGATGAGACCAAGTAGAGAGGAAAAAGTCATGGCTAAAATGAAGAGATACTGTTCTCACAAAAATATGTACTTTTTTTCAATGAATAATTTATTATTTGGTATATGGTTTAGGAAACCTCCCATTCTTCAGCCTGACATCAGATCTAAGCTATTCTATTATTAACAACATGCCTAATATCATAATAGAAGAATTGAATATAGCACTTTCTGTTCCCAGGAACAAGGCTTGGAAACTTCTGTGCATTTGTCTTGGGTGTCTATGATTGACAGGTCTTGTCTATTTGTTCAGCCAGATTACTCCATCTTAATCTCCTGCCTCCATGTTAGAATATAACTTTGTTAATTTTTTTTATATTTGTTGTGTTGGTTTTATGAATTTATACAACTGTTCTATAATCACTGTCTTATTCAATAAAATATATATAAGGGCAAGTATTTACTGACACTCAGGCCAAGATTAATATAGACAAAGTTTGCACCTTTCTGGAGTTACATCTCAGAAATCCTAGAAATGTAAATAATTAGCAACAAGCATTCAATTTAATATTAAGACCACTTAACTATAGGTTCACACAATCTAATTCATAAGAATTATTTTCCCAAGATATATCTCTCATTGTTTATTCCAAATTCTTAAAATTTCCTACAGAATTAAAATCAAACTCATAAGCATAACATTTTATGACCTCTACCATAGCTCTAGATTTCAATTAATATGAATGACATTTGATGTGGACTTTTTTCTGTTTTCTTGTTTTGCTTGCACTTATCTTTAAAACTTACAGTTAATAATCGCTTATTATACATGTGCATTTGTTGAATTATGTAAAATATTTATATTTTCAGCAAATATAAAATATTTTCTAATTTATGGGTATCAGCTGTAAAAAAATACTTAAATTGAGGCATTATTTTTCTTTGACCTTACTATAACACTTAGAGTGTAATTTTAATCTTAAAATTTTAGTGGCACTGAATTGAAGGAATCTTAACATCATGAAAAAATCAATAACATGTAATTACACATTCTTTCACACAATTCTATCCCCGTTTTCTGTTATCTGTCTTCTTTTCTCACCAAATTGTGTATACTTCGATTTTCTCACTTAAAAGATACCATATGATATTTAAGCTCCTTGCAAATGGAAAAGAAATTAAGAGATGGGGGAAGGAAAGTAAAAAGAATTAAGATGTGTTAGGTACATGTATCAAGTCCCCATAGTGAATGTAATCATCATGTACAAATATGTGCAAATAAAATTTTAAAAAGCTACCAATACGTATGTTATTATTTGTAATATCTGTTAATGTTATCTTTTGCATTAGAATATTTTCTTTTGTTCTAATTCCTGTTTCTATCACTCATTTTCTCTCTTGTATTTTCTTTTTATTTCAATTTCATAGTCATTTCATTCAAATTCATTTGTGATATGTTTGAAGGTTTTTTTTTTAATGTTTGCAATTCTAAGTTAATTTTGAGGGCTATATTTGTATTGACGTTCTGTAACTTTAACACTCTAAGGAATTTACCTTTTGCTTTGCATCATTCTCCATATATTCTGGACAGTAATTAAATCTAAAAATGGAAGTATAATTTATTTTAATGAATAGATTTTTTTGCTAGGCCACAATGAAAATATTCATTTATTTCAAACTGAATTGTTTGTTTTCTTCTAATACTTGCTATATTTTGCTGATATTTATTCAGCGTTTAATAGCTTCATTATATTATTTATAAGCAGCAGAATTTTAAAATTTCAATTTAATTTTGGCTTACATATGCTATAAAAATTTCTCACTTCATAAATTTATATTATCAATTTGTTCAAATACACAATTTTATATTCATCCCATTTAGGCCCAGGATGTATCTCAGTGATGCTGAGCCTACCTGGCAAGCATAAGTTCCTGAGTTCAATCCCCAGTATGTCAAAAAAAGGAATATTCATCCCATTTATTAATCATTCCTTTTATTAATCATAGTAAAATATTTATAAGAAAAAATATATTAGACCTGAAAATTATCATGATGAATGAAAAATATTTTCTTTGCTTAAGAAGATCAGTACAAATTGTTTGGCAAAATTAAAATGTGAATTACTAAAAAATGAAGAGCAAATAGATAAGCAAAATTACTTTCATGACCAAGTAGAAAAATAACAATCTCTGTTGTTGTACATTGGATAAATCAAACTTTAGGAGTACTTTAATTGCATGGAAATAATTATATAGACTTTTTTGTAAGACTTTTGGGTATGCCTTTATTTTCATAGAAAGATCACCTAATTAGATGATGGTATTTTCAATTGTGACTGATCCATTGCTATATGACTCAGGGAAGTTGAACAGAAAATTAGGAAACTTTCTTGTAAATGGGTTGATTTGATATTAAAGAGAAAGGGATAATAAGAAAATAACTTTCAATATTAATGTTCAAGAATGTTTACTTCTTTAAGTATTGTGATATTATATGACAAATTCAATGGCTTAAGAGATACTAATATAACTGCTAAAACATGTCTGGGTATATCTTTGAGGATATTTTAAAAAGATTAGCGTATGAGTCTGTGGCCTTAGTAAAGGTTCACCATTGCTTATGTAAATAGGAATCTTCCAATCCTTTTAAGGGCCAAGTAGAAAAAAGTTGGAGAAAGGGTGAATTTGCACTTCCTTCTTGAACTCAAACATTCTTCTGCTCCCTCCTTTGGATATCAGCTCCCTGGATCTGGGGCACTCAGACTCTAGAGACTTAAAAAGAGACTCATTGTAAGACCTTCAGCCTAGGAATGACAGTAACATCACTGGTTCCAAGGCTGTCAGACCAACACATTCTTTGTAATTATAGCTTTACCTTTTCTGGTTCTCTAGCTTGCAGGTAGCATGTTGTGGAAATGCTCACCATAATTGTGTTACTAATTCTCATAATGTGTACTCAGAGACACACATGCTCTATTTGGATTATCTTGTCTTTATCAAATCTCAGGTCTCTGTTAAAAATTGAGTATTCATAGGCAGACACATCAGTTTATTTATTATAGCTAGAAGAATATGGTACTGGGTGCAGTGTTAAAAGTTTTCTTATCTTATCCTATTAATATATATATATTTATATATATATATATATCATCTTAAATCTCAAGTATTATTAGAGATCCATTTATTATATATTAAATCAACCACTGGGTATTTGATGAAGGTTTGCTAAAAAATACCTATTGCAGTAAAAGCATTTTCAACTATACATCGATTGCATATTCATAATTTATTTTTCTCAATTAGCCAGTTTTGCAAATTATATCTAACAATGTTTAAATGAAATCAATTTTATTTACTTCAACCGGCATATTTTTTGTTTTTTGTATTTGTTTGTTTGTTTGTTACCAGGGATTAAACTTGGGACTTTTTGCTTGCAAGGAAGGCAGCAGCACAACTGAGCTAAATCCTTGGTCTCAACCTGCATATTTTTATTAATAAATATTTTTGAAAATATACTTTTACTAAATATAGGATTTTACATTTGTCCTACCCTTTTACTTATATCAATAGTAAATATGGGATATGTCTATGTGTACGTTTTCCAAGTCACTCAGTCTCTGATCATCAGAATCACGGCATTTATTTTGGATGTATTGTCTTTCTTGTTTGTGCTCATGCATTCTTTTATTTGCAAAATAAATGTCTGTACATTTAGTAAACATCTGGCTGAGAGCTGATATGTGAATTCCCATTACTTTCCACTTTAAGCACTTAAAACAATAGGTATTTTAGGCTGGTTTACAAATCACCACAGATGTAGTGTCTCAACACAGTGAGGATGTATTGCCAGTGTTCCTGTGGGCCCAAAATCAATGTACAAATTTTCAAAGTTCTCTTTTCAGTGGCTCATGGATGAAAATTGTGGTGTTGGCTTAACTATGTTTCTTTCCCGATCAAGCATGACTCTTCTCAACTCATATAGATTTCACAGAATTTAGTGCCTTGTGGGTGTGGGAGTGTGATCTTCATTCTTTTGGTACTTGAAGGCCAAGGGTCACCTTCTGTATTTAGAAGCGATTTACAGATGTTTTTCTTTTCACTCCATGCTTTTATTGGTTATACAGATTAGATTTTCATGTGCATAATTTACTTTGATCATTTTAACTCTCTAGTCAACCCCCTTGCCCTACCCTGCACTCTTGTTTCCATGTGCTCTTGTGTCACTGAGCTATATTCCCAGCCCCTCATTTGTACTTTACCTGTGAAGCATCTGTTAAATTTATTTGCACATTTGTTGATTGGGCTCTTTTAATTTTTTGGAGTTAATGTTTTTGAATTTTTTATATATGTAAAATATTAATCCTCTGTCAGAATATAAAGAGACACAAAGTTCCCAATATAATAATAGTTGGTGACTTTCACACTCCATTTTCACCAATAGAGTGGTCATCCAGATAGCAAATGAACAAGGAAAGATAGAGTTATACTACACTATGAATTAAAAGTTTTAACAGATAGCTATAGAACATTCACTCCAATAACTACAGAATACACATCCTTCTCTGGAGGTCATGGAACATCCTGAAAAATAGATCATATTTTAGGTCATAAAGGAAGCCTTAACAAAAACAAG